TGTTGGTGAGAGAAACAGATTTGCATCTCAGAACAGGGGGAACTTAGGACACCCGTGGTACTTTATTTTAAACAAAGTTGTTTCCGTTTCTCAATATTTTTAGCTAAAATTACACTGATAAATCTAGCAAGCAGGGCACGTTTGCCACTGTGGTGACACTGTGGATGAGTTGCATTCATCAGTACAGAGGACAGAAATTTGGTCTTTATGGGCTTTGTCTCTAAGGCTGCCAGCCTGGGAAAGCTTGATCAAAACAGAGCCCATTGATCCAATGGTTTATGGAAGCCAGTTGAAATCTCCTTACCTTACTTCTGTGGTGAGCAAAATCTGGAAATATTTGGTATTGCTTGCCAGTCACACCATCCTAACTTTTCAGGGTGCCTTTAAATTGGTGGTAAAGTGACTTCCTCAGCTGCAATATTTTTATTTTAAAAGAATATTGTGAAACTACTACAGAAACTATGCATAGTAAATATATCAGAGAAACCAAATTGTAGACTGTTTTATCACTTTACATGCACATGACCTCTCTAGTGATTTCGTGCTCCTCTTTCTTGTACATCTGCATGATCCTTTCCGTAAGAGAGATGATCCTTCCATAGCATGTGAAATTCTTTAGTTTTGACATTTTTAAATAAGATTTCCATATGAGGCAAGTTCTGCCATGTCAACAAACCAACTTTCTAAAATTGGGTTTGTTGTTCTTTACCTTTTCATTTTCTGCCTCCTGAAGATCAATTTCTTTGCAAACAGAAATGAAATTAGAGTGTCTGTTTGGGTTTCCGTAGTCCAACATACTGAAGGGAGGCATTGTATTCTTTTCTGGTAATTTATGAGTCCATGTTTTAGGTGTATAAATCCTCAAATAACAGATGCTACATATAATAGATACACAATGCACAACAGCATGCAGCAGGATTCACTGGAAAAAAAATTCTTGTATTCTACTTAACTAGGGCCAAATCCCATGTTGGAGGCACACATGGGGCTTCCATTAAGGCAGAATTTGGCCCTGTATATTTTTTCCCCATTAGGACCATGTTAATACTTAAACCATTTCTATTTCACTGTGATGTTCCTTCCTTTTTTTGAATTCAGCAGTTCAGGAACTGTATGTGCTAGAATACAGCCAAATACAAACATTTCCAGGATGGTCAAAAGACACAAGAGATGGAAAAAGAAACTCTATTATGGCCTAGGGAAATCAATGCAAATAGCTGCAGTACAGAAGCAAGATAATGGAGAGAGAGAGACTATAATTCTGATGGGGAAAAAAAAGAAAATTGTATTTTCCGGCTTAGGAGAGAGGTGACATCTAGTGCAGCGGCAGGTTTATTAGAACATGTTTTTTGGTTATTCTGACCATTAGAGGGAGTGGTATAAACTATCCTGTGACTTTCTTACACAGTCAGTAAGTGTGTACCAGCTCCATATGGTTACTTCAGTAGGTTACTGACAGGTCATGAACATTTTCCAAGCAGGGCAGAAACCAGGACTGGGAGTAGGGAGGGGCATTTTGGGATGTGCAGTCCTTCTCAGTGAGGTGAGGACTCCTGTGCATTAAATCCTTGTTCCCATTTCAGTAGCCACCCATAAACCTTATTTCTTCCCTTCCTGTGCTACCTACTCTAAGGCTAGGGACAGACATTCAAAAAGCCTGAGCCTGAATTGATTCAATCTTTGCAGGTTAGTCTAACTTGGCTAGGCTAAACCAGTTGGTAACCAAACTGACATCCCCTGGGCTTAAAAAATGCAGGCACAATAGAAGCTGGGGGGGGGAGGGCGGCGGGCGGTAGAGCATCCCTACCTTCCCTCCCACAGTGTTGATCTGGGGGGGTGTAGCCAGGCCCCAGCAGGACTCTCTGATTAGGGAGGGGTTCCCCCCACTCCTGACCAGTCCAGCATGGAATTGATAACACAGCATTTATCAACCCTAACTCAGTGTTTATTGCCCCATGAAGAAAACAACAGAGGGATATTACCAGCTACCTGTTGATTCTGCTTTGTCTTGTCTGCCACAGCATGGACCTTAGCCAGCATGTGGTCTGCTAGCTAATGCTGTATGTCTGTGTAAGGCAGAGGGGACGGCCAAATTCCTGCCTGGTGGGGGAGGGGCAGAAGCCAGGCAGATGCCTGTAGTCTCTGCCGGAGCTGCAGCCAGGGAGCAGAGGGGAGCAGCCAGCCCCACCCAGCCCAGAGATATTGCCAGGATGTTGGGGGTGTCTGATTTAACGTAAACCAGCAAGGGATCTGGGACAGACATTGCATAAACCAGTTTGAGCCAAATCAGTTAAGTCTGATACTACATTCAACCAGGTTTATCTCAAACGCATTTCAGCCATTTTCAAACTGGTTTATGTGCACTGAATATCTGTTCTGTTACAGAGTTAAACCAATTTCTGATCACTTAAACTGGTTTATGTTTAATGTCTGTCCCTAGCCTAAATCTATACTTATCTGCCATGACTTTGTCATTCACAGGAAGCAACAGGGTAACTAGACTTAAAAGGCAAACGTCTATTTCACCTAGCGGGCAACCAATGTGCAGCTCATGACTGACTCTGAGGTATACAGATAAAGTGTAGGAGCAATTCTGCTACACCCTCTGGGCACATAAGTGCCCGTATTATAGGACCATTGATCATCCTCCAGAGATGCAGTAGAATGAATTGCTCCTACACAATAGTTGGATAAATGAGAGACAGTTACAAGCTGCACTTTGGCCATCAATTGAGTGAAACAGAATTCTGCCTGAGGGCAGTTTAAAAATATTACTTTTTGTCAAAGATGTATTTTGTGAAGTGCAGGGTCAAGGGGGGGTCCCATAGCCATCAGAGGAAAAGGCTCTTTGCTCTAAGGACATCTTCTCTTTGCTTCATTTCAGAGCTGTCACATGGGCACACTTCTAGAGTCTGTGCTGTCCATTTAGTTTCTGTCATTGTCAGCTAGTCTGGGAGAAGTGCTTCTTCCCAGGGTGTCAGGAAAGTGCTGCCTTCTTTGGCATCACCCTTGGTTTCCTGGCAGCCAGGAATGAGTTATGGCTTCCAGCAACAACATAGTGATTGTCAGCCATAAGCTCTCTGGGGTAGTTTTAGTTTCCTTTTACACGGGATTTTTATTTGTTTTTGTTTTCTTAGTGTTTTAGTTCAGCTGGTTTAAATGTACTCTACTTCTCGTTTTACTGTTTTTCCTGCCTCACGATGCTCTTCATGTTCATTCTTGCCACTTCCTCCTTCCTTTGTGCCTATTTCCACCCCATCCCTGCTGCTCTTTTTTCACCCATCCTTATCATCCTCTTCTGTTGTCACTTTCCCTCACTCTGCTTCTTTAAGGTGAAAAAAAATATTTCCCTTACTCCAAAACAACTGAATTAGAAATAGGTTAGTAGTAACTTACTTGTTTTTTAAAAATAAGGGTGACATTCTGGATGTATCTTAAGCTAATGAGTAAACCTCATTGGCTTCATAAAGGACAGGATTGCACCCTATAATTGGGTCTCATTCACTCACTGAAAGGTCTGAGTCCTGTGCAGAGCATACCAAAATGATCACATCAGCATCTGGCCTGCTGACAAGTGACCCTGTGGCTTGCAGAGGATCGCTGCATCTGATTTGGTGTTTTCAGACTGAAACCTTTCAGCTAGTTTCACCTCTTCCTACCTAATGTTGATTTATTATTGTATTATATACCACCAGGAAACTCTATCCAAGAATCAGGGCCCCATTGCACTAAACACTGTACAGATAAATCTAAAAAACAGTCTATGTCCCGGAGCATTTATAATCTGTGTTTCAGGCAAGAAGCACAGGTGGATATTCAGGAAGAGAAGTACAAGATGTCAAGATGAACAAGGTTTAGCAGCATACTAGAAATGTCCAAAAATATTATGAAATTGCAGACAAAAGGGCCTGATCCTGCTTTAGCCAGATCCCTTTAGTTTTGCCTGTGGGAAGCTTCTAAAACTAGGCATAGGAAAACCAGGTTCAGGCCATGGACAGACATACTCTTGTGGCACTACACTTCAAGTGCCCCAGCACTAAAAATATAGTCTGACTAGGCACTGATAGAGCAGAGCTAGGTACAGAGTTCTTTATCTGAAGTGCTATAAAGGTGCTGCAGAGGCATTAAATGGCATGCTTTCCAGCCAGGAAGTGATAGGAGTGGCTTTGCCCAGTGGCTCTGTGCTTCCCACACCTGGCAAGCAGGACTGCAACTCCCTGGGCATGGGTTGTCAGTAAGTGTGAGACTAGACCAGGCTCACCATGGGCCAAGCCAATCCCAGTCTCAGTCCTGCACTGACTGACAGTTTAGTCTTAGGGAGAAGCAGGCTGCTTCTAGAAGGGTGGGCAGATGGATACTGTTGGATACTGGGAGAGTGAGAGACATGTAGAACTATGGTGCACTGGACAAATGTTACATTTAGTGCTATAAAATACAGTGCTACAGAAAAATTTGTTTAATCCAGGAACATTTTTGTAGTGCTACAGGAAGTGTGCATGTCTGTTCTCTTGACTTTTGTAGCCCCTGGCTAAAGTCTCTGAGGCAAAAAATAGCAATTAAGGTGTAAAAGTAGGGGCATTAAGGAATGCTTTTGTATACTAGTTTTCAGTGAGTGAACAGTGTATGGTGAGTAACATTGGTTAACTTTTTGGAAATTAAAGAAAGAATCAAAGTTAGTGAATAAAAAATGGTTACTCTCTCTCTCCAGAATAAAAAACTCTTTCCCTATTAAATCACTTCAGAAAAAATCCATCTGTCTCATAAAGAATGGAGCAACTATTTATAGATAACACTTAAGTTCTGTGTTAAATTTACATTGTCCCTTGTGTGGGCTCTTCCAACTGCAGCAAAATCAAAAAGTAAAAATGTGTCCTTATAATACTATGATTCTACAGTTGGCAGTACGTATGATTGTTTCTTTCAGTGCTAAACATGTAAATTGCTAATGTAGAAAACTGACGATTCTTTTTTTTACTGTCTTTATATAGGGTTATTTTGGCTGCTCTGTAAACATGTCCACAGACCTTCTATGTAAGTAAACTTCCTTCCCCCAGTAAGTTTTAGCACTACTTTTTTAGCAAAATACTTAGGTGTACTTAGAATGAATGCCTCATGTTGAATATCATGTCTGCTTTTTTAAATTAGCGTTTCTGAGAAGACCTCTGCAGAATTCTCGTATTAATTAGGGGAGTGATTCTTGTGGTAAGGTACTACTTGGGTGCGTCTACACATGCGCTTTACTACGGAGTTAACTAATTTGCTCTGCAATAAAATATCAGTCTACATGCATGCTGATATTACGATGCAGTAAGTTAATTAACTCTGTCATAGGATAGTACTGTCGGGGACAATAGTATTTATGGTGAAGTAATTTACTCTTCCAAACCTCACGTGTAGATGGTGACAAGGGCTATCTACCACCTAGCCCCACACTTTAGCACTCTTGAGCCCTAGCCAGCCCCTCTGCTGCCTGACACTGCCACCCAGAGCCTGGGGCTGACTTCCTAGGTCTCCTGCCAGCCCAGAGGTGCTTCGCCCTGGCTCAGAGTGCTGCATTCCTGAGCACATGTGTAGACTCTGCACCTGGGAGCAGTTTTCTCTGGTGAGAACTGTTTTAGAGTTGATTATGTCATGTTAATTGCACATGTAGATGCACCCACTGTGATTAAAGTTGTTAAAATCTGGCACTTGATTAGTAGAACGGATGGAGATTTACAGAGACTTCAATATTGCTCTTCTGTCTAAAAAAGTTTTATCAGCAGTTGTTAAAAGTAGCATGTAAGATTACTATGAGTAAATGAGAGGAGAGAAAAAGTTCTCCTTTTCCCTGTGGTTATTTTTTACTTTCTACATTTGACAGCATGTTTTGTTTTATTTCACTGTTGTCAGTTCAGCTGTTCTTTTTCTCAGCAACAGAGACAAAAGGAAAATAGAATTGTAAAACCACAGAAATTGTCAGTGTTGTACCCGAGACTCTTACATTACATTCATTTTTAAGTTGACTTGATGTTGATTGTCCCTTTACATAGTTTAAAAAAAAAAAAGACATGACCTAGTAGTAAATATGTTAATCGTTACATGCTCTTGAGTGAGAGGAAGATCACATATGCATCAGCAAGGGCTTAGCTCTGCGAGTCTGAATGTGTTGGGGCACCCTCACAATACTATTAGCATGGCTAAGTCAGAATTGTTTAATTTCAAATGGTCTTGGGACTTTTTTGTTTTTTCTGAACATGGTAAGCCTCAACTTGTGTTTGAGAGATGCAGTGAAAATATGGCTCTAATCCAGAAAAATGACTAGCAAAAATGGATCAACTGTAGAGTTGGGAAAAGATTTCAGATGCACTGTGCTCTTCTTCACTTTTGGCCATTACACAGATCTGAATAGGGGCACTACATGCCCAAAAGTTTGTCCAACATCCCCCCCAAACCTGGTCTAATAAAAGATATC